GATATATAACAAGAATAAAATTAAGCTCCACTTAAAGCAAATATCCTCTGAGGGGAAAAAGCCGATCATGCTCGTTTTAATGCTGTGAAACAGAATTGCAGAGTTGTTAATGACTCATTTCTAGCACAGATACAATACTAATCAGTCTTGCCAGCTGTCATTGTTGTATTAAGACAGTTTTAAGAACACATACACCATTTTAAAACAACACTGCAAAAGTACTAATCTGCACTTGCAACAAACCGCACAAGAAGAAAATGAACAACTTCTTTGTCTGTAATACATTGCCTATATCAGAGTATGTAAATTACATGCTTTCTGCCACACACACGCACACAGCAACTGCTTACTATTGTCTGCATGTGTGAATGCAGAGATTAGAGAAAAAGATTGAAGAGAGATTAAAAAATATATTGGAAAAGGAAAGAATAGTCAAGGAGCACATAATTGAAGTGCCACACGTGCTGCTTATTATTGCTATGCTTTCATAAATGGTGGTCTTGTTGTTCTGCATGAAACATGTTACTTTTACATTAGCAGGAAGCAGATTCGCAATGCAGCTACAAGGACCTTCCATGATCCCAATGCCATCTACAGTGAGCTGATCCTGTGGAGAGTAGACCACATTGGACCCCTGTCCTGCACTGGAGGGGTTTCTGAACTGGCCCGTATCAACTCTCTGCACACCTCTGCCTTCAGCAATGTTGCATGGCTACCTACACTAGTACCAAGCTCTGTACTTGGTAAACACATCACACATTTCCAACACAGACATAAATGTTAAACTCAGTGATGAATACAGATATTTCTGGGTTCAGTTATTAATTATCAAGAACTGCAATATTTCATTTTTGCTATTTGTCAAGAACTGCAATATTTCATTTTTGCTGAATCATCTGAGCTTCTGCTCTTTTCACATAGAGTAACACTGTATGTTAATTGGTTCACTATTTGTCAGTACAAATGTATGTACAGTATATAATGGCATTCAGGGATACTAAACGTCATACCTCCCAGTGCTATACATTTTTGTATCACAGTATATTGAATTTCAATATATCATCCTTAGGAATTAATATATTATTTGACAGCAGAATTTTCCTCTGAACTTTCTGCTGTGTCCCGTCCCTCAGGAACTTATTGTAATAGTGCCAGTGCGTGCTTTGTGGCATCAGATGGTAAAAACCTGCGTCTCTATCAAGCTGTGGTGGATGCCAGGAAATTACTGGATGAGCTGTCAGATCCTGAAACCTCGGTGAGTGGACACACACTCTTGTCACTGCACAGGAGAAATGTTATTACTCATTGGGATGTGAGAATCTTTGTTTAGACTCTGTTCAGTGAATTTTGTATCTTGGTCTTTATGTCTCACACACTGTGGGTCTTTCCACAAGGCAGGGTTGTGGGGCTGAGTGTACATCAACTATGAAACATCCTTCACAGCTATAAATTATTGGACGCCAGCCTGTTTTAAAAGTCTTTTTGATGCTGCCTTTAATTTTTTTAATGTTATCAAAAGACAAAACAACACTACACCATTATATCAAGCAAACATATCTCAAATTCTTTGGAAATGTGACAGTTTTTCTCTTGCTTCATAAAAACTACTAGCCTACATCTTCCTGTACTTCATATCATAATATGCATTATTTGTTCACTGCATTAGTGGTTTCAAATACAGTATAGCGAAAGGACAGGTTGCCATTTTTTGTGTGTGTTTCTGTTTAGAAACTGGTGGGTGAGGTTTTCAATATTGTCAGTCAGCAGTCCACTGCCAGACCTGGGTGTATCATAGAGCTGGATGTCATTACAAGCCAGGTTAGCAGCTGCTCTGTATTTTCACACCCACCTCAGATCAGTGGTGGACAAATTTACATTATGCAATCCTGAAAGCTTCTGATCGATAACCTGTTTGCTGCTGTGCCCGTTTACATCCAGTGTGGCGCCAACACCCAGCTACTGCATGTCTTCCAAGAGGACTTTATTCTAGGTTACAAGCCTCAAAAGGAACCAGAAGCATATACACCAGCCTTTCCATCGGGTGGAGGTATACCTCACGGTCAAATCAAAACTCCGTATGGGTCTGTTTGCTTATACTTCAAACCTTGTTGCCATTAGAAGTTAATGTCATTTTACTATGTCCAGATTTTCAACCTCCCCCGTTTTCTGAGAAGTTCTTCCTCGTGGTGATAGAAAAGGATCTCAACAGAAACTCTGTCCTACAGATGTGGCACCTCCACCTCAAATCAGTGCAGGCCTGTGTTGGTAAGTGTAGGGCACATATACAGTAACTTTATATTTTCTCAATACAAGTACAAAACATGAATTTTAACTATAATTTTCCTGTGTCTGCGTGTTCAGATGAAGTGAGCTCAGATTATAGCTTCCAGAGCCAGTTAATGGTTCCCAACCAAGTAGCGAATGCTGACTCATCTCCGGAGACCTCTCCGATCAGACCCCTGCCACGATCAGCCTCTACAGCCAACTTACAGTCAGCCAGCAAACTCATCCTTAGCTCCAAGTTGGTGTACAGCAAGCACCTTGACCTGCCACACGGAGTGGAGGTTACCAGGGCCACCCCCTCTGCAGGTTGGGATGGGCACACAGTTGTCACACATACAACTCATAAGCAGCAACCTGCATTGGCTCAGTTTTCATATGTGCCTCCTATTTCTTCTAGGTCATCTGAGTTCCTCCTCTATCTACCCTGTGTGCCTGGCTCCATACCTGATTGTTACTACCTGCTCTGACTCACATGTACGGTTCTGGCACTGTGCTGTGGAGGGTGATGATGGATATTGTGAGGATGATCAAGACAGCCATGTGTACCGCTGGGAGCCTTGGGCCCTGTTGAATGATGAGGAAGATAACAGCAGCGCTGTGCGTGTGTCAGGACGGCCTGTGGCTGTGTCCTGCTCCTATATCGGCAGGCTGGCCGTGGCCTTTAAACAGCCACGACAAGGGCAGGTAGGAAATTGGAATTTGGCTTTGTAATAGTGTTTTTGACGTTCCAAACACCTACACCAATCAACTGTGGCAAACACCTTGAAGTGGAAAATTGCAATAAAAATGTAAATGCAGTCAATAAACATCATTTGGCTGTATATCCTGGCTCCTTGAAATATAGATAACAATTCCATATGTCAACATGTGAATATGTATTTATGTAAAGCAGAGAATGGTGGAGAAGTAAATTAGATAAGCATATACATTATACAGTATATAGATAGAGTTGTGAAATGGAAGTGATAAAACTATCTGAGGATCCAATTCCATTTCCTGTACCAGCTTTACTATGTCTTTGAAGTATATGGAGCTGGATGTTATTGAACTGAGTTTAGGTCTATCAGCAGCATTCTGGGTGTTCAGGGTATGAGACAGGATAAAGGTCCATGCAGGTGCAGATGAGATATTTTTATGTATGACCTCACGTCACTTTGTTTTGTATATGCAGTTTGCCTGGTTAACAGTGTCTACAGTATCCTCAGATGTGACCCATTCTAACAATTGGGAAATTTTTGTCCTCAGCTACAAGGCTTTGGAGAGGACTTCTCTATGCATGCATCCATCTACGAGTGTGAGTCTACTGGTGCCTCAGAGTGGGTCTTGGAACAAACTATCAACCTGGATGATTTTACCAGACCACCATCAACCCTAGATCCAAGAGTCAGTGTGGACTCCAACCTCTTTGTCTACAGCCGGTCAGGAGAACACTGCTTGTCTGTTTGTATCAGATTCTATCAGCCACTGTTTTGTGTCTCATAGGTTGTAATTTATCATTTCCTCCATGCCAGGTCTGACCTGTACATGAACAGAGACCACAGTTCACCCAACATTAAGCACTACATGCACCTGGATTGGCTGTCAAAGGAGGATGGATCTCACATCCTCACTGTGGGGGTTGGATCCAACATTCTCATGTATGGCCGTATATCTGGCATGGTCACCGAGCAGACTAGCAGTAAAGACGGGATGGCTGTTGTCACTGTTCCTCTAGGGGGCAGTATCAAACAGGGAATTCGCTCACGCTGGATCCTTCTCCGGTCTGTGGACCTCCTGTCGTCTGTGGATGGCACACCATCGTTGCCAGTCTCCCTGTCCTGGGTGAGGGATGGTATCCTGGTGGTGGGCATGGACTGTGAAATGCATGTGTATGCCCAGTGGCATCAGGACAAGAAGCCTAGTGAGGGAGAGGAGGGCAACCTATCTTCCGCAGACATCGCTGGTGGTCAAACCACAGGTTCCTCCTTGGTCTCTGAAGGGAGAGCCAGGTCTAAGAGTGTGTTTGAAGGGAGTGCTGCAGTGGATGAGGCCCTTCGTGCCCCAGCAGGGCTTCAGGAAGGGGGACTGTTTGAAGCAGCTCACTTGCTGTCTCCAACTCTACCCCAGTACCATCCTACTCAGCTACTTGAACTCATGGATCTGGGCAAGGTTCGTCGTGCCAAGGTGAGTCTGTGTCCGCCTCATTCACTAACTCCAAAATATGCAAAATATGTCATTTATTTAATTTAAAATTTTGAAATAATGAACATTTTGTAGGCTGGAGTACAGCGAGGTCCACCCTTATTAATTAAACTAACCAAAAATCTGTGCTGTGTGTCTACCTGCCCCAGCTTAGCTAATCCACATTGTTGTAAATGCTGTATAACCCATAGCTCTTCTATGCATTAGGCCATCCTCGCTCACCTGGTTAAATGTATTGCTGGGGAAGTTGCTGTGGTGAGAGATGTGGAAGCTGGTGAGGGTGGAGCCAGGAGACATCTGTCCCGAACCATCAGTGTGACTGGCAGCACAGCAAAAGACACCACCATGGCTGGCCGTGACAGGGGCAGGGACTACACAGAGATCAACTCCATCCCTCCCCTGCCCCTCTGCGCCCTAATGTTGGCTGACCTAGATACCTCGTACAAGGGAGCAGAAGAGGTTGCTAAAGGACCTAAGGTGGCCAATGGAGAAGGAGGAAAGAATTCCACAGAAGACCAGTATGCTGACCTCTTCCAGGTAGGTACATTTACGAGAGCTTTGATTTTGTTTAAACGTTAGGCCCACTGATACTTTAAATCCCATTCTTTCTATGTTAACAGGTGCCAACAGTTACCACAGATGACTTTCTGAACTTTGCTACAGACAAACCAGAGAAGAAGTCTCGAGTTATCAACCTATCTCAGTATGGACCCAACTACTTTGGACCAGAGCATGCTCAGGTATTACTGTATAATTTAAAAATGGATTTCATTCAAAAGAAGGAAACTGCACTATCAGTGTAGAAGAATTATGACCCAGAAGGTTTTCATTTCTCAGTTTCTCAGGGCTGACCAGACTAGAGCAGTTGTGTTGAAATTAAGTGGTTAATAAACAAGTAAAAACTTTGAAATAATCATGTATTTTTATGTTAACAAAGACATGATTGTGGCAATCTTGTGGATTAAATGTGTAAAGATAGTAATTTGGAGGAAATATGACAGTAATAACATAGTCATATGACTTATCTGCACATAATGATCCAGTTATGTCAGAAATATTCTAATTGAGGGTGTGTTCATTACTATATTATTTATTCAAATTCAGAGTAATAATAGGGTAATGTTTATTATCAGTGGTGAGTATACCTTTCATTGTGTTTCTGAGTGCCCAACATTTATTTACTCACATTATTCTTGTGTGTGCCCAGGTGCTGTCCAGTCACCTCATGCACTCCAGCTTACCAGGGCTGACCAGACTAGAGCAGATGTTCTTGGTGGCCTTGGCTGATACTGTTGCAACCACCAGTGCTGAGGTCACCAGCTCCTCTAATAAACTGTACACAGGTCAGTGTACTGTATAGGTTACAATTGTATTTGTTATACTGTATGTATATTTGGAGACTTTTTTTTAACAGGAGTCAATAAAATACATTATTTAAAAAAAACAAAAAACAACACATTCCACCTTATTTTGCAATAGAGCACTGAGAGTAATGTTTGATCATCCACAATATTTTTAGGCTACAGTATTTCTGATGCCTGATTCTCTTCACAGTACTTGTATTATATTGTACACCTTTTCAAATAGCAAAACAGTTCTGTCTCTCAGTGTATCATTTGGTGACCTTACAAAATCATGGCTTGCTAACCTTTTACCCCTTTTCTCTCTCTGCAGGAGAGTTATTTTTTTATTTTTAAGTGTCAACTTTTTATGGTTCTTTACACCTGATAGGCACCTGTGGATATCCATGCTCTTGCATTTAAAGTTGTTTCCTTATTTTATTTAAATTCCTTCATGTACAAGAATCCTTTCCCTTTGTGGATGAATTAAATATTTTCTGTTTTGTGCTTGTATGTACAAGAAATACACATACCTGCAGAATGGCCTTGTAGTTACTCTAGGCATAGTGAGAGATACTGTGATATTATTAAAGTTGACTAAAGGTTAAAAACATGAAGGCTAAGCATAATTTTTTTTGATTGTGTTAATCTCAGCCAGCCATGACATACTGTAGTTAATCTCCAGTCATCAAATTTTTATTAACATAAACAGCGGTGCTTGTTCTGCTCTTTAACTGTACATAAACACACACTGTACTTTTTTCATTATCTCTGTCTTTTTTACTCCAATTTTCCATCCTATTTATTTAGTCTTTTGAGAGGAAGACATTAGCAGGTTGTTCCATGGCTAAGTAAGCATAGTGAGGGTAAGGCAGTTCAGGGACAAGAAACTGTCTCTGACAGGATTGTATGAACTTAAGTGATAACTGGCGCTGCCCTTTTAATAGAGTCTTCTGTAGAAGCAGTGACAAAGCTCCCTGGTGTGTTTGTATAGGAGGTGAGGCTCTCGACGAGTGTGGACTGAGGTACCTGCTGGCCATGCGTCTTCATACCTGCTTGCTCACCTCTCTGCCCCCTCTCTACCGCATGCAGCTGGTCCACCAGGGTAAAATATACTGTTCATCCTACCACTGCTGCAACACATGTGGAAAACATAGTTTTGTATGACAATAAACCCACTACATTGTCAGATATTATGTTTATGAAATGCAAATTGCTGTAACATTTTGCTTTCCTCATCCTTCTACTCTGTATATATTTATCTCTGTGGCAGGCGTGTCAACATGCCACTTTGCCTGGGCCTTCCACTCAGAAGCAGAAGAAGAGATGCTGAACATGATCCCTGCCATGCAGAGAGGTGACCCACAGTGGTCTGAGCTCAGAGCTGTGGGGGTGGGTTGGTGGATACGCAACATCAACACTCTGAGGAAAATAGTGGACAAGGTACAAGGACAAATTCAGACTAATGAATTCAAGACTGCAATATTTTTTTTTAGCACTTGATGATGCAAGTACAGTATAATTTCATTTCCTGTGCTTTGTTGATCGACAGTTTAACACTTTAGGACAAACTTGGACACCTTACAGTATAATGCAGTTAATTAGACTGTCAGAAATACCACAGCTGAACTAAAATCTCTCTACAAAACTATAACATTAAAAGATTTTAAAGGAGATCACTCAGGTCAGTAGTACACTTTCTGTAGTTCAGCCCTCTAACCTGTATGAACTGCTAAATTCAAAGGCAGTATGAGATGTATTGTATTTGAGACATGCATTCTTCTCCGTACTAACCCGCTGAATTTTATTTCCTATAGGAAATATGTATTTATATTGATTATTTAGCAACTAGTATTATTGTAGAGTAAATAGCAAAAAAGATAATTTAAATCAAATCAAATTTTATTTGTATAGCGCCAAATCACAACAAAAGTCATCTCAGGACATTTTACAAAGTAAGGTCTAGACCTTACTGTTATCAATATTATTACATAGGGAAAACCCAACAAATCCCCCTTGAGCAAGCACTTGGCGACAGTGGGGAGGAAAAACTCCCTTTAACGGAAGAAACCTCCGACAGACCCTGGCTCTTGGTGGGCGGCCTTCTGCCTCGACC